GCAGACTGACTGCTCATAAAATATACGACAGGTCTGGACCACTCGTTATCTGAAAAAAATCTTAGAATACGAAAACATTGGTGAATGCCACAAATTCTCCTAAATCACTCGTACGCACAACTTAAGAACAAACCTGTGCGTACGAACGGTTTTTGCATGAGGCCCATTGTTCTGTATAAGCTCAGCATAAATCATGTCCCAGGATAAACCCAATCAGTCTTTGTACCTTTATGCCAAAGATGAAATGTCTTCCAATAAAACAGTCTCTGACAGCCTTCATCAACAATCTGGACTTTGTTGATGGTTCTACAGGACCATCCTGGTTCACCACTAACCTACAAGAAAAAAAATGTTTACACTGTTGTCTGAGATGGTTTATGTCATTATGTCAGCAGATGAGCTGACACTACAACACTACTGGGATCACTATTTGAATTGACTGAACTTACTTCTGTAATCCAGTTGCATGAATACCAAAAAACACATTCAAGCTGTTTCCAAACACCGTCACATCAAACACGCAGCTGTCCCGGGTCACCCTGAGAGAGAGACGGTATCTGTAGTCCACCTGGTCCCCCAAACACCTGGAGCCACACCTGGAGCACCGACACCTGAGGAGGGACAAAGCTCAGTTTGAAGCATGGTGGAGACAGAACCTGTCGTTGACTTACAGCACAACTAATGACAACACATCATCCATTATTTGTTACCTTGTTGCGGAGTCCAGCTGTTCTGTGTCAACGCGTGAAAAGCAGCTTTTACAACACGGATAAAACACGCACGAATCCTGAAGAGACAGAACAGCACCGTCCACCAGAGCCCGCCTGACAGACATCCTGAACAGGCTGACCTCCGATTAACAAACCCTTCTCAGAGTGCATGAAGGTCGGTTTAACTCAGCTATGACTGGAGAGGTGTTTGTAGCAAAAACTGCACTGAAATATCAAATCAAACAAAACAATACATATATATACATGTATATATTTACATCCGCCTGCCATCGGGTTGGCCTCGGAAGTTTTGATTGTTTTCTTCGTGGTTTTATTTATAGACTCCGGTGACAATACTGACATCGCGTGGACAGTTTGTGAACTGCAGGTTGGTTGAAAACGAAACTGAAACAC